GGGCAGACCAGTCCTAAAGGAATTGGGAGCAGTCACTTCCATCCACCACCTATGCATGAAATTCCCGACAGAAAATGGGGTGGCAACGGTGAGAGGCGACCAGAGAGGCTCGAGAGAGTGCTATCTAAGCTCCATTAAGAAGGTAAAGCCCCGGGACGTCCACGTGATCATGGCTGATGTGGTCATGGCGGATGTCCCAGGTGACGCTCCCACTGAACAAGAAGATATTGATATGATTGACGCGCCGTTTGATTCGGAGGTGCTGATCATTGATGAGATTAACCCCCGCATAATGGAACATGAGCCTCAAGCATCCCTTGTAGAGGAACTTGAGAGCCTCTTGGCCGACCCCCGAGACCCTTCCAAGGTGCTGAAGGTAGGCAAAGGCCTATCCAATATTTTGAGAGAAAATATTAAGGACTTCCTAGGCAAGAACCTCGACATCTTTGCTTGGAGGCATGAGGACATGGTGGGCATTGATCCCAAGGTCAACTGCCACCACTTGAAAATTGATCCTAAGGTTGCCCCGTATAGACAAAAAAGGAGAGCCCTCAACCCTGAGAGGTATGAGGCCCTGAAGGAAGAGGTTCAGAAGCTCATCCAAAATGGCTTCATCAGGGAGGCCACCTATCCGAGGTGGATTTCCAACCCAGTCCTGGTTAAGAAACACAATGGCAAATGGAGGGTATGCATCGACTTTACCAACCTCAATAGAGCTTGGCCGAAAGACAGCTTTCCGCTTCCAAGGATTGACCAATTGGTAGACTCCACGGTCGGGCACGAGTTATTGAGCTTCATGGATGCGTACTCCGGCTACAACCAAATCCCCATGCATCCGACCGATGAAGAGCACACCTCTTTCATCACGGACCGAGGTCTCTATTGCTATACAATGATGCCCTTCGGGTTGAAAAACGCCGGAGCAACCTACCAAAGACTCGTGAACAAAATGTTTATGGACCTCATTGGCAAGACAATGGAGGTCTATGTGGATGACATGCTGGTGAAGAGTTTAGAAGTAGAGGACCACATAGCGCACCTCAACAATACCTTCCAAATCCTTAGAAGGTACAGGATGAGGCTCAACCCGCTTAAATGTGCCTTTGGGGTGGCTTCCGGCAAGTTCTTGGGGTACATGGTCAACCAACGAGGAATCGAGGCCAACTCCGAGAAGATTGAGGCTTTGTGCCAGATGAGGTCCCCTCAAAAGCCAAAGGAAGTGCAAAACTTAACTGGACGAGTGGCAGCACTTAGTCGCTTCGTCTCCAAACCGACTGACAAGTGCCTTCCATTTTTCAAAGTGCTCAAGGTTGGGAAGAAATTCCAATGGACTGAGGAATGTGAAGAGGCCTTCCAAGGCCTGAAAAGGCACCTGGGACAGGCCCCCCTCCTCTCCAAGCTGAAGCCCGGTGATATCTTGCAATTATATCTGGCCGTCTCCAATGAGGCCATCAGTTCGGTTCTGATTCGAGAAGAAGGGTCCACCCAACTCCCCGTCTACTATACGAGTAAAGCGCTTCTATCGTCGAAAACCCGTTACCCCAATATGGAGAAGCTCGCTCTGGCCTTAATCACGGCCTCCAGGAAACTGAGACCCTACTTCCAAGCTCATACCATCCATGTACTTACAAATTTTTCCCTGAGGTAGGTACTCCAAAAGACCGATGCCTCAGGAAGACTATTGAAATGGGCAGTGGAACTAAGTGAATTCAACCTTGTGTTCAAGGTTAGGGCCGCCATCAAGGGGCAAGCCTTAGCTGACTTTGTGGCTGAATTCGCCAACCTACCCGAGGTGGATGCAATTATGGAACCCACGGAGCCCTTCACGTGGAGCCTCTTCATCGATGGTTCAGCTGGGGAGCTCGGCTCAAGTGCCGGTGTTGTCCTCATCAGCCCCGAGGGTCACAAGCTCACCTCGGCGGTGAGGTTCGGATTCAAAGCCACTAATAATGTAGCGGAGTATGAGGCACTCCTTGTGGGCCTCAGACTGGCCAAGGAAATGCAAGTAAAGAGGCTACTCATCAGTAGTGACTCCCAGCTAGTTGTTAGCTAGGTCAATGGTAACTTCTCAGCCAAAGACAAAACGATGGCCTCCTATCTGAAAACGGTGATGAACCTCATCCCATCCTTTGAAAAGTTAGAGTTAATCCAGATTCCTCGCATCGAAAACACACATGCGGATGCACTCTCAAAGCTTGCTAGTAGCAAAGACTCAGAGCTACTCACAGTAGTGCCTATTGAGTACCTCCTCCTGCCTTCTATCGAGGCCCCTAATGTCATGTGGGTCACGGGAACTCCCACCTGGATGCAACCGATCATAGCATATTTGAAGGACCAGGTGCTGCTCACCAACAAGAATGAGGCTTATAAGTTAAGGAGGAGGTCGGCCCACTTCCTCTTCATTGATGACATTCTCTACAAGAGAAGCTTCTCCTCTCCACTCTTACGATGCGTCGGAGAAGAAGAGACTACCTACATACTAAGAGAAATCCACGAGGGAGTGTGTGGCAACCACTCCGGAGGCCTATCTCTAGCACAAAAAATGCTGAGGCAAGGGTACTACTGGCCTACCCTGAAACGGGACGCCCTCTAATTCGTACGAAAATGTGATAAATGCCAACGATTCTCTCCCGTGCAAAGACAACCATCACAGGACTTGACTGCAGTCTCCAGCCCCTGGCCTTTCTCAAAATGGGGTGTGGACCTCATAGGTCCCCTACCTAAGGGTAGAGGAGGTGCAAGTTTCACAATAGTGACCATTGATTACTTCACAAAGTGGGTCGAAGCTGAACCACTGGCAAAAATCACAGAAGCTAACACTTCCAAGTTCCTATGGAAAAATATTATTTGCCGGTTCGAAATTCCCTACTCGATCGTCTCAAACAATGGCAGACAGTTTGACAACAAAAGGGTCAGAGAACTATGTGAGGAGCTCGGCATAAAGAAGCACTTCTCCACACCTCACCACCCTAAAGCAAATGGTCAAGTTGAAGCCGTAAACAAGACCATCAAGCACGTCCTAAAAAGGAAGCTTGATGTATCCAAAGGAGCTTGGGTTGATGAGCTGCCACAAGTACTTTGGGCGATCCGAACCACCACCAGGACCCCAACCGGGGAGACCCCTTTTTTCATGGCATATGGGACTGAGGCGATGAGCCCCGTGGAGGTCGGACTTCCTTCTCCACGACGTCTGCACTTCAGCGAAGTAACTAACAACGAGCTTCAAAGGCTCGACCTCGATTTCATTGAAGAGAGAAGAGACGACTCCCAGCTGAAGCTCAGCACCTATCAAAGAAAAATGACAAGGTACTTCAACTCCAAAGTCAAGAAGAAGTCATTCCGAATCAACGACCTTGTACTCAGAAGGGTCTTCCTATCTTCAAAAGAACCTGGTTCCAGTTCCCTAGGCCCGAATTGGGAAGGCCCATACAAAATCAGAGAGGAAGTTTGACCTGGCACCTACTGGATTGAAGACATGGACGACAAGGCACAACCCCGTACATGGAACATTGAGCACCTCAGGATCTATTATCAATAAATTGTACCAACATGCTGGATGACATTCCCCAGCCTTTGTAATCTTTCTATGGTTCAATAAAATTCATTGGTTAAATCAACATGTCGTACTTCATCGTCACCTTGGATGAGAGACTCGAGTCCCACGTCTGGGCCACCTCGCTTGAACTCCAAGGCTCTAGCACATGCCTCCCTTTGGCCTTGCTGAACGTAAGGGGAGAAGTCTCAACATGGCTGCACCATCCGCCATGTCTAGGGTGCGTCGTCACCTCGGAGGAGAGGCTCGGGACCCACCTTTGGGCCACCTCGCTTGAACTCCAAGGCACTAGCACATGCCTCCCTTTGGCCTTGCTGAACGCCAAGGGGAGAAGCCTCAACATGGCTGCACCATCAGCCATGTCTGGGATGCGTCGTCACCTCGGAGGAGAGGCTCGGGACCCACCTCTAGGCCACCTCGCTTGAACTCCGAGGCACTAGCACATGCCTCCCTTTGGCCTTGCTGAATGCCAAGGGGAGAAGCCTCAACATAGCTGCACCATCCACTATGTCTGGGATGCGTCGTCACCTCGGAGGAGAGGCTCGGGACCTACCTCTGGGCCACCTCTCTTGAACTCCGAGGCGCTAGCACATGCCTCCCTTTGACCTTACTGAATGCCAAGGGGAGAAGCCTTAACATGGCTGCACCATCCGCCATGTCTGGGATGCGTCGTCACCTCGGAGGAAAGGCTCGGGACCCACCTCTGGGCCACCTCGCTTGAACTCCGAGGCACTAGCATATGCCTCCCTTTAGCCTTGCTGAACGCCAAGGGGAGAAGTCTCAACATGGCTGCACCATCCACCATGTCAAGGATGTGTCGTCACCTCGGAGGAGAGGCTCGGGACCCACCTCTGGGCCACCTCGCTTGAACTCCGAGACGCTAGCACATGCCTCCCTTTGGCCTCGCTGAACGCCAAGGGGAGAAGCCACCATCGCTACAGTCTGAGGATCCACACAGTTCATATTCTTAAGTCCGAGGCTCACACAGTTCATCTCCTTAAGTTATGTTCATTTGCTTAAGTTCGAGGCCCACACAGTTCATCTCCTTAAGTTATGTTCATTTGCTTAAGTCCGAGGCTCACACAGTTCATCTCCTTAAGTTATGTTCACCTTAAGTTATGTTCATTTGCTTAAGTCCGAGGCTCACACAGTTCATCTCCTTAAGTTATGTTCATTTGGTTAAGTCCGAGGCTCACACAGTTCCTTAAGTTATGTTCGCTTATTTCAGTCTGAGGCTCATACAGTTGACTGATTGAAGTCAAGGTACCAAGTTAAAGTTATATAGTTCGTGCTCTTATCAACTTCCAGTTCGTTTGTTTAACGAGGCACAAAAACTTGGATAAAGAACAACAATGAATGAAGAAAAACATTATATTAATATTCAAAAGGGATTACAAAGGAGGGCCTCTGGCCATTACATTCAAAGTACTGAAAAGGAAAATCTAGTCTAAGCCTGGCTAGATGGCGGAGGCACCTCAGCACTTGGCGCTTCGGCAACTTGGGCATCAGTAGTTGGGGCTTCGGCATCAGTTGCCTCATCACCCTGCACCTCCTCAGCTGGGGTCTGAGGAACCTCATCCACAAATTCAGACCTGAGTTGAGTCAGATCCAAGTTGGGGTACAGCTCCTCCACCCGCTCCATCACCTCGGCATAGGCGAAGTTCCTCCAGTATGCACTGAAGCTCTTATATTCCTCAGTTGTATGGAAGTTGGTAATGTATTCCTTCACCGCCTCCTCCCCTGCAATTTGGGCCTCTTTCCTTGCATGAGAGGTGTCATCCACGTACCACTTTATTTGGCCCTCCAAATACTTATAAGCGTCTTGAGCACCTGTCAAGGAGAGATTTGCCTTCTCCAGGGCCTCAGCAGTCACCTTTTGGCGCTCATTGGAGACCTCCACCTTCTTTGTTAAAGAGGCCACCTCGCACTGTGGCTCGTATACTTCCTTTCTTAAGGCCTCGATCTGGTCCAGTGCAGACTCAAGCTTCGCCGATTCTTCAACTTTTTGGGCCTTGGCTTCCTCAGCCTCGGCCTTTGCAGCTTTCAGCTCCTCTGCGAGGGAGGCCATCTTCCCCTCCGAGGCCTGGGTCCTTGTTTGAAATTCACTAAGGGCCTCCCTGCATTCAAGCGCGAGGCCAAAAGTCCTGACACTCTGGCTCACTAATGCCCTTGTAAGATCAGTGGCATCGCAAGCGGAGGCGTGCAGCTGCCACCTCTCTTTCCAGAACTTGTAGAAGCTCTCAGTGGCGCTTCGGATCTCTTCAGGGAGAGCCTCCACCAAGGCCGGGGCCAGTGCCTCCTCCCTCCTAGCTAAAAAGCTCGGAGACTTCCCCTTCTCACAAACCGGCTTTTGCTTCGCAGCCTCCTCCTCGGCAGCCTCCGAAGCATGCCTAGCAGCCTCTGCTCTAGCCTCCTCGGCCTCTGCCTCTCTAACCATCTCAATTTTGATGGCCTTCGAGGCCGTTGCAAGCAACTTCGGCTCGCCAGTTTACTTTGCCTCATGGGACACAGATGTCCCGAATTTCCCAATCGAGCTGGAGATATGCACCAGCTTCCTCTTTTTTTGTCTCCTCAAGGACCTTCTCCTTCCCCCGAGGCTCCTTCGGCTTCTCCTGCCTCTGAGGTGTTGCCTCCTTCGAGGCCCGCGGAGTACAGTCCTTGGATAGGCTTTCAACCCTGCCTCGGACTTCCTTCGCCCCACTGGAGCCCGTCTTTAGAGGCCTCGCCTTCACAGTAGAAGTGGCCTTCAGAATGGAAGCCATATCTGGAGCTGGGTACTCCCTCTTCTTGAATTTATCTGCACAATACATTAGGTCAGCATCAGTATCAGAACAAAAGGACAAGAAAATTGTAACTGTGGGAGCTTCATACCTCTGGATGCCATCAGCTCAAAGTCCAGAAAATAGCAACTCCTGTCAATCAAGTGGTCGAAGTGGCGAAGCTTCAGAGGCCTCCTGTAGATGTCCTCTATTACCTTGAACTCCTCACGGCTGAGCTCGAACCTCGTACTACTATCTGCAAAGGAAGTCCCAACAGGTAGACAAATTCAAACCTTAGCTTCAGAAAACAAGTAGGGTCTAGGAGACTCACGAGCTTCGTAGTACTGGGTCGGCACGGTGCAAGAAAGGGCTTTGTTCCCCTCCACTGCTTGCCACTTACCTCGCACCCAGAACCAAAACTCCTTCCACCCCTTGATAGAGGAAGGAAGTCCCACCACAAAAAGTGCGTGAGCCCCCAAGGCGTGAGGTAGTACCACCCCCTAGACTCCTTTCCAATCACCCGAGGCTGGAACAGGGTCATAAATACATGGAGAGGCATGTCCTTCCCGAGTGACACTTCCTTCCACGGGAAGTACGAGCCGACCAGCTGGCTCCACCCATTCGGCAGAACCTGGGTCGGCGACAACATGAAGTTCCTAAGCACCGCCCTGAAGAAGGGGTGCAGAGGTAGATGCATACCTGCCTTAAACAGGTATTTACTGACGGCCACGCAGCCGGGCCTTGGATAGCAGGCCCGCTCGTTCGGTTCGGGGACTAACATTTCTATGGAGTGGGGTACACTATACCTCTCCCTAAGTTCCCCCAACCTCTTCCACGTCATGTTCGAAGGTACCCTAGACGCCCCCCACTCCTGGATATAATCTACAGGCTCCTCGGTCATGGCATACCTATCCACCTCGGACTCCCCCATCTGAACGACCCCATAGTCTAAAGACACTGTCACTAGCTCCCTACCCGAGTGGACTCCATTTTTTCAGTAAAAAGACAGTAAGAGTATTTTCTGCAAAAAATACCTAAGGGAATTCGACACAAATGGAGATTGGCCGAAAATTAAATTACAGTCAACCTCGACGTTGGAAAAATTTGAAGATTTAAGAGAATTTCAGAGTGCAAGTGTTCGAAAATCCTGAAAAATGGGATTTCCTCACCTTTTATAGAGGTACAGGACGAACCCCGGCCGTTAGATCGAATCTCACTCAATCTAAGCCCTCAATTTCAGATCCAATCCGAGGCGTTGAATTCAAAGGGTTTTTCAATCCTACGCCTCAGATTCATGCGTGCCTCCCACGCACCTCTTCCAGCGCGTTTGCTTCTAGAAGCGCCAGCTGTCCTCGTAATTGTGTTTTTAATACGACGGCAGCAGGCGCCTTGGAAGTCGTAACGGTTCAGCCACTTTTCCTCGAAAACAAGCACAAGATATCAAATCATTGGCTCAGCTATCAAGGCACAATTATTACCATTGGACCTCGGCTTCCTCCATCATTCAGCAACAAGCATCGCAGGTTCGGTTCCTCAACCACCTCGGCTTCCGCCATCATTCAGCAACAAGCCTCGCAGGTTCGGTTCCTCAACCACCTTGGCTTCCTTTTCATCATTCAGCAACAAACCTCGCATGTTCGGTTCCTCAACCACCTCGGCTCCCTCTTGACCATTCAACAACAAGCTTCGCAGGTTCGGTCTCAACCACTTCGGCTTCATCTTCAAAAGTTCAACACCTCACCTACTTCATCGCTCACCCACAGCAACACTTCTCTAACTCCAACCATGATATAAATATCTATACTTGGACTTGGGGGACTATTATTTGGGGTTCAAATTCTTTCAATTTTTACTCCATCAAAGTCCACGCATTACATAAATGAATATACTTGGACTTGGGGGACTATTATTGCGTGTTGTCACACCTGGCCAACCTACCTGGGACAATGGCCCATTCATGGCGATCCACGTGGCATTCCTGCCGAGGTGGGCTACATCCGAACTGCTTCGAGCCGAAGTCCATCTGCCGAGGCTCCTTTTTGTCCGATGCCCATTGACCGAGGCCTACGAACCGAAGTCAGGCTGCTAGAACCTGTTGAGAGCAGCTGAGGCCCTCAAGTGAAAATATCATGACAAATGGCCGAAGCCCCGAAGCTGATGCGCGAGCCTCTGAACCACAAGGAAACATCCTCCATGGTCACTTTTCCCAAGAGATCGTCTACACAGATCTTATTCGAATGATTGATGGAACGTTTGTCATAAGCATAAAGGTCAAGTCTTGTCACTAGCATGGAGGCCATGCACAAGTAATAAATGCGCTGCAAGCTAGCAAGTCAAGCCCCATACCTAGGAAAAGATGTTTGAACTAAAGAGATGAGGCCACGTGCCACTTCATCCAAGGGCTCCCATTTATTATGTACTACTATAAATACTCCCCTTGTGTCATATCAAAAGGCTAATGCAAGAATCAATACAAAGAACTACATTTACTCAACTCTCTCTCATTTTACTTGCAATACACAAATCGAGTTTATACACATTTACGTATACATTTATGAACACCGATTGGTAATTATTGTACAATCGGATTATGAACAACCCGTCGGATTCCGAACGTCATCGTCCCGTGTCGTTGGGCTACTCCCACGCCCTTAGAACCGCTCGTTTTAGACTGTCCACGTGTCTTAGCGTGTTGGATATTTGCCCACGCAAACGTGGGTGAGACCGGCATCTGTTGGCGCACTTTTTGGGGTCAACAAATACTAATCAATCTTAGAGAATTGAGCCCATGTTTGATGGCCTTAAATTTTATTTAATATTTACAAAATTACATCGATTTAACTAATGACATATTTAATCTTAACTCTTACACAATAACGTAATACAATCTTATATGTTTTTTTGTGTATATTTTTGTTGAGTTTTTCATAGATTTGATGGTTAAAATAACAAGAAGAGGACGATAAAGAGCTTATAAGAATTAAGAGAGGAGCTATCAAGCTTAAATTCGATTTTTCAGAACGATATAAACGGCATTATGACAAAATAACAGGTTGGGTAAAACTTAGGTCAATTTGAATAGGTTGGGCTTGGACTAAAAATTAGAAATATGGTAATCATATATTTGAGTTTGAGTTAAATTAACTAGTTAGCAAAATTATTTTAAAAAATTAAAATATTTTGTCTTATTTAAAATAAATAAATTAAAAAAAATTAGGGAGATTCAGTTCTTAATTTAGAACCGAGAACCCAACTAAACACATTGATTTTCGATGAGGATACCCGTTCGTATATTTAACTTAAAAAGAACCACTCAATTCGGTTCAGTTGTGGTCGAGTCCGGTTCGATTCGGTTCAAAAGTTTTGCCCAACCCTAATATATACGAAAAAAATTAAAGAAAAGTAAAGAGAGTCAAACTGGGACGGAGAAAGATCAATGTTGAGTTGCATATGAGCATTAGGGATGGTAGTGAGGTGGAGTTTGCCTCGTTTGCTGCTCCATTTATTTATTTATTTATTTTACATTTTTTAATTTTCAAGTTATGCTATTATGAGATAATAAATACAAATTTAAAATAAGATTTTAGCGAGTGAATTGTTTATAAATAAAATTATTTTTATTATTTTCTTCTCTTCACGGAGTGGGTTCAAGGCTCCGTGATGGGGCGCCTCACCCCGCCCTACCAACTCGTTGGGGCAGGGCATATTTTTTTTGCTATCACTAATGAGCATACGAGGGAGTTGTCAATTTCATGGTGTATAATTTGGCCCCTTTTTTTTTCTTGAAAAAAAAATCAAAAATTTTGACAAAAGCAATAAAATATGTAGTTGAAAAGTTAAGAATATCACAAAACTATGATTGAAAATGAGATTTTTTTTTGCTATAATTAATGAGCATATCGAACTATTGCGCATTAGTTTTTTTTTATTTTTTATTTTTTATTTTTTTTAAGTATTGTGCACATTTCAACAAATTGTCAATCTCATGTTGTATAATTTGGCTTCTTCATTTTTTAATTTAGAAAAAAAACTGAGTTTTTAGTAAATTTTGATAAAAGCTATAAAATATGTAGTTGAAAAGTTAAGAATAACCTAAAACTATGATTGAAAATGAATTTAGAGAAAAATGAGACAATCACGGATATTATAAAAATGGACTTATGTGTTACTTGTTATAATAAGATCAAATGTGATTATTAATATAACTCATCCAAAGTGGAGGGTGAAAATGTAAACGTGGAAAAACTAGCACCCAGTAAAATAAATAAAATAAACCACTCTAGTCTTCTTTAGGGGGTTAATTATATGGATAGTCACTGAACTTTGCCTTATGTTACTACTTAGTCACTGACCTTAAAAATATAACTCAATGGTCACTGAATTTCGCCAAGTGTTATTAATTTATAATCGAACTTTAAAATGTATCTCAATGGCCACCAAAATTTGCACTGTGTTACCCATCCATCACTCAAATAGAAAAATCCGTTAAGTCCAACAAATGACGTCAATTTGAGTGACGGATGGGTAACACGATGCAAAGTTCGGCGACCATTAAGATACATTTTAAAGTTCGATTGTGAAATAGTAACACTTGACGAAATTCAGTGATCATTCAGTTACATTTTTAAGTTCAGTGACTAAGTAATAACATAGGGCAAAGTTTAGTGACCATTAAGATGTATTTTTAAATTGAATTATTAAGCCTTTGTTTGAGTCTCATTCTTTTCCAAAAAAAAAAAAAAACATTATTAAACACTGATTTGATATCATTCAATCACACATTCTTCAATAAAATGATATTACATGCAAATTCAAAACTTTTCTTTATTTTTTAACTACACATGTCCCATCAATATACTATTCAAAAATTCATTTTTTTTCCTCAAAATGGGAATCAAACAAGGGCTAAACTTCTCAAATCGACCTCTATGAAACAAGAAATCAAAGAAAATGAAGGGAAAAAAGAGGAAACAGAAAATCAGAGACTTATAAATTAAATAAAAATAGAATTGTTGCTAATATTCATCCATCATGGTGAAAAAGTACATTTGATTTTTAGATCAACTGATATCAGTTCACCGTATCTCAAACTCTACATAAATAGATTGAAAAAGAAACAGTTAGAACACTAAAAGAAATTGAAAAAGAAAAATTAAATAAAAGTACAAAAATGTTGGTGTTAATGTAACTGATGTCGGTTTGATTTTTCAACTATGTTACTACTTAGTCACCGTACTTAAAAATGTAACTCAATGTTCACTAAATTTCGTCAAGTGTTACTATTTTATAACCAAACTTTAAAATGTATTTCAATGATCACTTAAGTTTGCACCGTGTTATCCATTCGTCACTCGAATTAACGCCATTTGTAAGACTTAATGGATTTTTTCATTTGAGTGAAGGATGGGTAACAAGGTATAAAGTTCGGTGACCATTTGGCAAAGTTTAGTGACATTTGAATTACATTTTTAAGTTAAGAAGTAACATAGGACAGAGTTTAGCCCCGATTCATATAATTAACCCCTTCTTTAGGAGCAAGGAAACCAAAACACATTTTCAAAGAAGCGCATAAAAGGAGTTGATTATGCAATCCAATCTATTGGCATTTTCTATTTTCTCTAATTAAAACTAGTGAAATCATGGTGCTTGAGGTGTTTTCTCTATTTTTTCTGCTATTTTTTCCCTTTCCCAAGCATTAGTTTATTTACTTTCAGCGATTAATTAATATACTTGCTATTTATTTTTTGAAAAAAATTAGGCGACAATAATCTGTATCGATAATTCTGAGTGGATGCGGAACGGCGACTACTTCCCCAATCGATTCCAGGCTCAAGCTGACGTTGTTAATCTCATCTGTGGCGCAAAAACTCAGGTATTCACTTTTTCCATTTGCACATTTTTTCCCACTATACGTGATGGTTATTAGGATTTCATAATTGTTGTTGCGTATAATTTTAATTCATGTTAATTTGGAGTATTCTTTGAATATATATTATTACTGTGTAGTCAAATCCAGAGAATACAGTTGGAGTATTAACAATGGCAGGAGAAGGGGTTCGAGTATTGGTCACACCAACTAGCGATCTTGGAAAGATCCTAGCTTGCATGCACGGTTAGTTTTTATTATTTTTTAAGCTATTTTGAATGTGTCCTTTTTGTCCTGTTGAAAGCTGGAGAAAAAACAGCAAAGGATATGAAAATGAGGAAATTCAGTTATCTTGTTTGTAATACAATATTATTTTAGGCATTTGCCGGATCTTTTATCTTTGATGTTGTATGCAAATAAAGTTTCCCTCTTTATCAGTGCAGGTCTGGAAATTGGCAGTGAGATGAACTTGGCAGCAGGGATCCAGGTGGCGCAGCTGGCTCTCAAGCATCGCCAAAACAAAAAACAACAACAAAGGATTATTGTATTTGCTGGCGGGTAATCTTTACTGCTATTTATAATTTCACTATGCTCGCAATTTTTGATTTTTGGTTTACTAATTGTTAGAACTTGTGATTATAGTCCTGTGAAATATGACAAGAAGGTGTTGGAGATGATTGGAAGGAAATTGAAGAAGAACAGCGTTGCTCTTGACGTTGTTAACTTTGGTGAGGAAGATAAGGGGAAGGCCGAGAAGCTTGAGGCACTGGTTGCTGCTGTGAATAATAATGATAGCAGTCATGTTGTGCATGTTCCTCCTGGTCCAAGTGCTCTTTCTGATGTGCTCATAAGGTTGCTTTCCAAATTGCAATATCTGTTAATTTCAACTAGCTATATAATTTTATAATTTTAGACACATGTTATGGGCCATCTTTGGTTATGATGCCTATTGCACGAGTGCGAGAATTGCTTTCATCATCAAAAGCTAGAGATTTCTTAGAGAAAATCAAATAACTGGAAATTGCAGTGCTTGCTAAAAGTTGTGAATAGAACTGTAGATAATCTGTTAATATGTTAAATAGGCTTAGCACCCATTCGCACCACATATATTGACAAGTACCTAAAGCCCTGAGCTTCTGAACTAAGCACCTTCTTAAAAGGAATAATTCTTTGGATTTAAATAAACTAGGAAACAGGAAAACATAAAATCCTGAAATAATCAAGAACATGACTAGCTAAAACTTTTAAGATAAGATTTTCTGTCACCTCTTACTGTAGTGCGTGACCAGTTATTTTTTCCCCATCAATTATTTCTTTTTTGTTGTTGGCAGTACACCTATTTTTACTGGTGATGGACAGGGGGGAAGTAGTTTTGCTGCAGCTGGTGGAGTATCTGGTTTTGAATTTGGAGTGGATCCGAACCTGGATCCTGAACTTGCTCTTGCGCTTCGAGTTTCAATGGAAGAGGAGAGGGCTAAGCAAGAAGCAGCTGCAAAGAAGGCTGCAGAAGAAGCTGCAAAGCAGGAAAGTGGTGAACATTCTGCATCAAAGGATGCTACCATATCTGAAAATGCGAACACTGGAATGACTGAACCTGAAAACAAGACAAAAGACCAAATGGTCAGAGTCCCTTTTGCACTGAATTCATTTTTCTTTTCAGTGTGTTTGTTTGGTAAAATTTCCTGTATCTTACAAAGACATTCATTGAGGGGCATAGGTGTGCCCGTTCTTTTTTGAAAGATCAATTTATGAGTTAAGCGAAGTGAAGTGGCATAATTTATTCACTGACATATCCATATACACTGACAAACCTGTACCATTTAAGTCAACTGTCATCATGCAAATCATGCTGGTAGAATGCGGAAAATTTACCATGCATTAGGTTTTTTTTTTTTGTTTTTTGTGTGGTAGAAACTTCTTCTGATTTTGAATTCCCAATTTCATTCCATGCCTTGCTGCTTTAATAAATTTGTATAAATTAAAGGAGTTATTTTACTTGGTCTTGTAAAGCATCCAAGTGGAGTTCGCGTTCTACATCACATCTGCTCCCAAATATCTCTGCCGTTTAGGTTGATAGTACAATGTAATTTAACAATCGTTTTTTGGTCGTGGCAACGATGCTGCAATGGCCCTGCGGCTCCTTTTGAGTTATATATGGCAATTGCAGTATACAGTACATATGTGAATTTTTAGATTATGCAATAGATTTGTGTGCATTATTAGGAGAAGGAAAATGTTGTGAGAGACCTTAAAGCAGTCCATCTGAAAGAGAATGAGGAATTGAAAATCGAAATGGGGAAGTAGATTGTTTGACTTGTATATGGCAGGGGAACTAGAGGTTTGCTGTGCTTTTAGAGATAACCAATCTTGTACAGAAGGTATACGCTATATAATGAGTCAGACACATACTGGATTTTAAATGTCTTGGTCAAAAAATGTTGATGGGAGGTTCTTCCTGGCTCAGATATAAATTTTTAATAAATAGTGGACAAGTTTCTGTATGCGGACTGCAGTAATTAAACTTTTTCCTGATTCAATTAAATTGCCGTCATGTTGGACATGTTTCGGTTTCACTTTTTTCTTTTATGCCTATGACACATTGACAACTCCTATTATTAAATTTTGTTAGGTGATGTAATTTGCTTAGTTTACTTTGCCCCTATTTGGTTTGGATAAAAATTAGATTTTTAGTAGATTTAATAAAAATTGGTGAAATATGTGGTTGAAAAGTCGATAAAAAAAGTTGTTGATACCGTGATTGAAAATGAGTTTGGAGAAAAAAATGAGTTTTAAGAAAGGAGAGCCAAACAGGGGCTTTTTGAACTTCCACATTTCATGCTTAGTTGTGTGATAGCAGAGATGACAGCTGAAAACGGTTAACATATAAAATTTCTTGGTTTCAGGATGATGAAAATGCATTGTTACGACAGGCTCTTGCAATGTCTATGGGTGATTCTTCCTCTGCTGTTGCTACACGGGATACCGAAATGTCAGAAGCAGCTACTGATGATCACGATTTGCAGCTTGGTGAGAACTTATGTTTGTTGGCTAAATTTCATTTCTTAACTTGCGTATTATTTTCTTTTGTTTTTTCCTTAAGCTCACTAACAATTCGATCTGATGTTGTACACTATCCATTGTGTTTGTACTTGTGTTCTATCCTGTTAATGCTGCTTGTTATATTTCTTCAGTACTGTTGCTTTCCTTGAAGGGGAACAATCACTTACATGAGAAGAGGAATGAGTTGTATCTGGATTATTTTTTCTGAATTCCACAGATTACTAAACGGATGATAGGTTGAACCTTATTTTGGGGGGTGGGGGTATAAAAAATGCTTACAAGATGCTAAAAAATATGCTCTTTTGAAATAAGTATTGGCGCCCTTGCATTTTTAATGAGTTTATAATCTGTTCTAGGTTGACTAACTATTTCACAGTATTGCTCTTTAAATTCTAAACAAAATCTCTACACTATCTGGTTCCCTCACACAATCCAACCCCCTTCTTGCAAGACCTACGTGTCGACCTCCATCCCCAGCCCGACTCCAGTTGCCAAACTCCCACTTGAAACGGAGCCTTCTTCTTCCTCTTGCCACCTTCCCCAGATTTCTGCTATTTGGACAAAGGCTTAACCCCAAATTTGAACTTCATGCCTGGATATCAACAAAACCAGCCAATATTCTGAAGAACGATAATAAAATTGGCAAAACCCATGGTTCCCAGATCTGATTTAGGATAAAAAAATTCTCTTTCTTATCTCTCTCTTCTTTTTTTTTTTTTAATGACACGTTAAGCCCCTATTTGACTATCATTATTTGAAAACTCTTTTTTCTACATCTTGTTTTCAACCACACATTCACTAATAAAATATTCTGCACGTAAATCCAACATTTTTCCTACTTTTTGAATTTTAGCTATACATTCTCATAAAAATCACTATTCAAAACATTATTTTTCCCTAATAATGGTTGTCAAACTGGAGCTAAATAAAAGAGCAAGGGTTGATATGCAAAGTAGATAAAATTATAGCAAACAAAAACGGAATGAAGAAAAAAAGCCCAGGGTAACTGGTCGGGTTCTCGTTATTGCACAGTGAACCTGAGAACCGGAGTGAACTGTTCAGTTCTGTTTATCGTAATTGTTCTTTTCATGTAACTGGACCAAACTGAGCAGTCTTATTCTTATAATATTGGGCCCACACCTATTACTGTAGTATGCCTAATAAATTTGATTTTTATCCAAAAGTTGATGCAAAAATATGCTGTGGTTTTTCATGTTTCTTTATATGGGATCGACAATTTACTCCCTTGCTATGGTTGAAGGCATTAACGGTGATAGAATATGGGTTTCATCATTATTGAAGTGAAGTTAATGTCATTAGTTTTTGGCCTTCATAACCGTAACTGAATGTTCAGTTACTTTTATTATTTTATCACAGATGTTTAGAATTAACTTGTTTTTATGCCCTTTTGTTTATTCACCACCTGTCATTTTAATTATGGACGAGCAGTACAACTGCACTATTATGATGATTAAAAGAGAGCACTCAATCGTCTTATAGACCATAGAAATCGTGGTATTAAGCCCTTGTTAACCCAAAAAATGGGAAAACATTCTTCAACCCTGAGGTGGTCTTCATGTGAATGACATTGTCAAAATATTATAAAATTTTGAACTTACCACATGGATGCAGTTCGTCTTGGAGAGAGAGCTCTGAGTGCATAGAGCCCTCGAGAGTATTTTTTTAATTTTTTCAACTTGGTCTTTATTTGTATTTTACTTATCTCTTTTTAGTAGTGTCGTTGCCTTATTTTGCTCGCATAAAATAATGGTAAGGCTCCATAGGCGTTGTCATTGTTGGTCTCACATACAAACTATTCTTGTTTCTCGATGCTTTGGGAATGGGACCTGACCTTGTGCTGTTTCCTCTCCTTGTTTGCAATAAATTATCTCTTGAGCTTCCCTAGAAACTATTTTCTTAAAATATGGGTAAAGCGTATTTGGAATCTTCTATTCTAAATCATTTTTCTGATGTCTTATTTGTTTTGGTGAATGTAGCCGTTCAATTGTCCGTGCAGGAGGGTACAAAAGACCAATCAAACCAGACAGATATGAATAAGCTGTTGGCAGACCAGTCTTTTGTGTCCTCTATCCTGGCTTCGGTAAGTCTACTGGGCTAATTTCTTCACGTCTCTTATAACATGGCCAAATGTTGTCAGCACTACTTGATACATACAAGGTCAAATAGTGAAGAGTGGGAAAAAAATTACAAAACAAACAAACTAAACTAATATCTAGAGTCCTGTTTCGTGGTTTGTTTGCTTCAACAGCTTCCAGGAGTTGATCCAAATGATCCCTCTATCAAAGATTTGCTTGCTTCCTCGCAAAGTCAGGCTGAGGTGAGTTCAATGGTTGATATTTGTTGAAGCAAAGATTGATGACAACCCAAGATTTTATTGAAAGTTGTGAATTATGTTTTATGGCCTGTTAAAAATTTGATGTGGTATTTCTAGCTTAATTTGTTTTGTCTTCTCTTTCTGACTGCACATATCATAAGTGGCTTTGTATTATTGCTGTAATCAAATTGTACTTTTCACTTTCATTTGCTGTGTCTCGTTAAAGTATCAACCAGTTTTCTTGATCTGTATTTTGTTTTAGTCCCAGCAGAGTAAGGATGAAGATGAAGCACCAAAAGAAGAAGAAAAGAAGTGATGATGGATTGGTTGATATCCACTGTCAGCTGTAGTTTCTTGCTCACTAATTTCGTGTTTAGGAGAAATTTATTGGAATTGCTTATATGTCTTGATATTTAACTTCTTCCTCGTCTTTCACACCGATGAAGTATTACTAGTCATGCTGTTTTGTGATTATATATTAAATTCAATAGTATTTTTTGCGAAGCAGATTAAGCAGTGCCTTCCTGAGTTATTTGTGCAGTTTGATTTGCAGGATGGGGATAATGTTGTCAAAGGGGATTGTAACATGGACGCATGACCATTCTTTTACTACATTTGTTCATTTTTCTGTCTTTTCTAATGGAAATTTCAAAGAATTGTGCAAATGGTGCATGCTTTTGAACTAAATATGAAGGATTACTTAATATAAGTAATTAACCCAGATGGTTGTGCCTTCCTGAATTGGCATCTCCACCGGTTTTTGTTCTCGATAATTTTTCTCTTTTTTGATTGAGTTGAAGAGCTCCTCGTACGTTTGGTTTGCTGTTTTCAAGATGTTTTTAGTTTTGCAAAATGTCCAAGATTTGTTTGGTCTTGTATTTTTTAAAATGCATTTTCGAAAACTAACAAAAAAATTTGAAAGCTCATTTTTTTAATGTTTAGTGTTTTTGGTGAAAACTTTGAAAATATTTAAAATATGGAATATAGATGTTTAAATAAAATTTTATTTATATAGAATTAGTTTTAAATTTTGTAAAAAAAAATCTAAAAATCAATAATTTTCTAAAATTATAAAAGAAAATTTCCACAAAAGTAAAAACAATCGTTATAGTTTTTCACATAAAATATGATATTAACACAAATATAGATTCTTAGTTCAAGTCATTAATTTTTAATATTTATTTCCTATGTTTAGTCAAGTCAAATTATTATTTGCTTTTGTTTTATTTTTGTAGCAAAAAAAAAAAAAAACTTTAAGAATATATATTACTTGATAATATATTAACATAAATTCGTTCTATTTTACGCAATAATTGAATTTAATGAAATAAAATGTCATAAACCAATTTCACAAAATTTCAAATCAAACACATTTTCTAGTTTCCTATTTTGAGAAACAACTTTTTAGACCGACAAACTAAACACGTTTGTAACAATCTTAAAACATACCGTCAAAATAAAAAATTAAAAATGAACTCAACACTCAAAATCAAAACACCATCAAATATCCCATCTAAATTTCATGCCACTGCTAGTGATAATTGGTGGTGATCCATCACCTATTTTAGCAAACTTTTCAATGTAAAACTTGCATCTAAATTTTAACAATTTTAACCATTCCTTAGCCCCCAATAGTAGTTACAAAACCTTGCATCAGCATAGTTAAAGGATGTCGATGGCCCCTTTCTATCCTCTCTCCAAATGATTCAGCCATGGTAGCATCACTTGGGCACCTTTCTCCCAAAGCAATCCAACATCATATCATGAGCCACTCCTTCAATGCAAATGCATCTGTTTCGTCAAGTCCCTTGCCATCCTACAAAATTCACTTACTTAGTAAGTTTGATATCCTTAAACAAGCCCTTAAATTGAGTTTTAGGCCAAATAAGAAACAGATATAGCAAATACAATTAAAGTGATTTGGCACTTGATGATTCATCTATATTCATGAAGATAGACTAGAAGAATTTTGTTACTCTACAAAAGAGAATATGAAAGAGTAAGAAGTTGTTACAACATTTGTAGCTTTATCAGTATTTACAAACATAAGATCTATCATTAGAAACTGTTACGTGTTGTCATACTTGGCCAACCTACGGCCTATGGCCCACTCAATCTGAATCACGTGGCGCTCCAGCCGAGGTGCTTTGTATATCCGAGGCCCATATGCCGAGGCCAGTGAAGATAGCCGAAGCCCTAAAGCGAAAGTACTACGTGAGTGGCAGAAGCCCCGAATCCGAAGCTGAAGCAGAGGCCCACGAACTATGAAGGAACGTCTTCTACAATCACCTCTCCCAAGAGATCTTTTACGTAAAGATCTTGTTTGAATGATTGATGGAACGTTTGTCATGAGTGCATATGCCAAGTCTTATCACTAGCAATGGGGTTCTGCACAAGCAATAAATGCGCAGCAAGCTAGCAAGTCAAAGATGATGCCTAGGATTGGATGTTTGAGTTAAGGAGATGAGGCCACGTGCCACCTCATCTAAGGGCTGTCATTTCACATGTAACACTATAAATACTTCCTCTGTATAACATCGAAAGGCTAATGCAAGAATCAATACAAGGAACCACACTTTACTCGATTTTTAATATTGTCTTATAACACAACACAAATATATACATATTTACATTCACATTCATGAACACCGATTGGTAATTATTGTACAATCGGATTACGAATATCTCACCAGATTTCGAACGTACTCGTCCCGCGTTGTTGAGCTACTCCCACGCTCCTAAAGAGGTTCATTCCAAACCGTTCATGTGTCTTAGCGTGTAGGACTTTCGCTTACGTGAGTGTGGGTGGGTTCGACATCTGTTGGCAACACTCTTCGGGGTCAACAGATTGGCGCCGTCTGTGGGAAACCACACTATAACCATGAACAACCTTGTGGTGGAAGCTTACTGAAGAACATTTGGGCAACCCTCCTTGAAAAAGGATTTGTTCTTGAAAAAGAACAAGAGGAAGCCCCACAACTTAGCAAAATCTGAAGTTAGGCGAAAGTAAAATGAGTTCAAACGAGGACACACCCCCTAGGAGGGTAAGAGAAAACGCAAATATGCCTCCTCCACCCGCTGCCCCAGCAACCCGGCAAAGACTCCACCACCACCAAAGACGAGATGGAATGAGGTCTACGGCCCGACTGTCGAGAGAAATGGCTGTCATGGCGGCCAACAAGAGAGATATTGCTAGCCAAAACTTGGCTATGAGGGAGCTCGTTGCCCAAATGCAAGGCCAGGGGAGCTTCTCCATTCCTCCATACGCCCCTTAGGGGCACTACCAGCAAGAAGACGAAATTCAAAGCCATAGAACAGCCTCGTCGGACTATAGCCAAGGTAGAAGCCCATTTGAAAGGGAAGTGGAAGTTGATGTTTCCTCCAACTACGCTTCTGGCCAACCCATCGAGATCCCATTGAACCATGATAACTTCCCACGTCCATATGAGCAAGAGTCAAGACATAGGAGGGCAGGCAGTGTATTTGACAGAATCAGCCCCACTGAACCGAGGCTTAGGCAACAGTAAACACATCAGCCCTGGACAAGACCACAACCTCCACCTCCGATGCCCTAGCCACCGGAAGAAAGGCATGAAAATGTCCCCCGTATTGCTCCGCCTAGAAATAGGCGCCAAAGGAGGGAGGAAGAGGCTAGGCACCGTCCTGGGACCTCTCACCAACAACCACGGCAAGAGGTCGAGGAATATGATTCAGATGAACAGCTGAGATCTTGTGACTTGGATGATGACGATGACAATTTGCCGTTCTCAAGGAAACTAAGAAATGCCCAGGTTCCAAGTTACTATGTAATGCCAAAGATACCAACGTATGATGGAAAAGTCAACCTGGAGAAGCACCTAAATGCTTATAAAACCCACATGAGCCTAAGAGGCGCCACCCCAGTGGTGAAGTGCAGAGCTTTCCATTTAACACTTAGTGGAGCAGCTGAAATATGGTATAGCAGGCTGCCACTGGGGAGCATAAGAAGCTGACCCGAGTTCAAGACAACATTCTTGAAGAGGTTTGCGGTAAGCAAAGAAGGAGAGGCCCCATACAGTGTCTCCAAGACATGAGACAAGCACATGAGGAATCCCTAAAGAGCTTCCTGTCTCGCTTCACAGATGAAATGACGTATTGCGTGCAAGTCACCGACCGTGAGGCACTATCCGCTTTGAGGAGAGGCCTGAACATGAATACCTTATTCTGGAAGGACGTACAAAATCAACATCCTACCACCTATGATGCCTTACTCGAGATGATGAGGCGGGAAATCATCAATGAAGAATTTATTGAGTATAGGAACAGGGCAAGTAGAGGCTTCCCACCTCCTTAAAGACAGCGTGCTAGAGGGCCGACTTCCCACCTGATGGACTACCAAATGAACCAGGCTGGAAATGAGAGTTCCGGCCAAGCACTTGCCACCACCACTTTAAACACGGTTCCTGTCCTGGCATATGAGGATATCAACCCAATTACCAACACCTAACAGATGGAAACCCCCCAAGGATCCCGTAGAGGAAGAGGTCGAGGTTGGGGTTCGGGACCTAGAAATAGGTCGAACCAAAACCCACCAGGATACTGTGTGCACTACAGGTCCTACAGACACGACACGACAGATTGTCGAGACTTTGTGCACCGCTCCAGGGCGGAACCCCCCAGGCACAGAAATGAATCGCCTCAAACAAACAGCCCCCGCCCAGGCATGACAACCCACGTGGGCACGAGGAGGCCGCCCCTCATCAAAGGGATGTTTTTCCACGATGAAGAGAGCGTGATACGGAGAAGCCCAGGGAAGGGCACAGGCACCGAAGAAACCGACAAGTCCAGAATGAGGCTCCTATCCACGAGATAGATACCATATTTGGAGGCCCGCATGTTGGCGGTGAAACACGAAACGCCAAAAGGAATTACGCTCGGAAGGCAAAACACCCCCCTTTGACAAGTTACATTGTGGACAGCAGCTCCCGGAAAAACCAAGTTCCACCCATCGTCTTCACTCAGGAAGACGCCGAAGGAGTTCACTTCCCCCATTGCGATACACTTGTTGTGAGGGCGGTCATAGCCCGAAATGGGCTTAAGCGAATGTTAATTAACAACGATAGCTCTGTCAATATTCTATTCGGATCCGCCTTTGACAAGATGATATTGGATCATCAGTTGACGTCCACTACAACTCCTCTGTACGGATTCACCGGAGATAGCATCACTCCAAGAGAAAAGATAACACTTGCAGTGGAGATGGGATAGTCTCCCCACACTACAATGAACTTCATGGAGTTCCTCATTGTCGATAATTGATCGGCTTACCGTGGAGTATTAGGTAGGTTAGCCCTAAAGGAATTGGGAGCAGTCACCTCCATCCACCACCTATGCATGAAATTCCCAACGAAAAATGGGGTCGTAACGGTGAGAGGTGACCAAAGAGGGTTGCGAGAGTACTATCTAAGCTCCATCAAAAAGGTAGAGCCCCAGGACGTCCATGTAGTCATAGCCGATATAGTCATGGCTGACGTCCCAGGTGATGCTCCCTCCGAACCAGAAGATATTGATATGATAGATGCACCACCCAATCCAGAGATCTTGGTCGTTGATGAGATTGATCCCCGCATAAT